CTCTTTCTTTGTGTTGAGTATCAGTTTTGAATGATTAGTTTTAGCTACCTTATAGTTCTCTTTAGCCTGGGGATTTGTACTTATTCTAGGTTTTTTACTAATTCTTGGAAGTGTCTAATGGTATTTGTTATCCATTCATCGTCTTTGGTTTTTAATCGTTGAACGGTTTTTGGAAATGATATTTCAAAATAGTATAAAAAGGAGGAGTAGAATTCATCAAACATTTCATTAGTAGTTACTTGATTATTAATTTGGCTCCAATCATAATTCTTTAGTAGGATACAAAAAGGTTCTATTGGTTGAGTAATCTCTACTTTCCGAATTTCGCTTTCTTTAATTTTTGTATACAAATCCATAAAAATATAGTCGTGATCTGAAAGGTTGTTTATGATGGTCCCCGCTTCTTCAAAATGAAGAGATGGGTCTACATATAGATAATCAAGTTGAGAATATGTCATGCTCGTTGTTCTTGTTGCTTCTCTTATAATGCTCTTCAGACCATGCGAGCCCACTACATCCGATAACCAGTCTTTTTTATACGATTCTGTCAAGTTGTCAACATTAAAATCACCTCCAATTATTACAGGGAGATTATATTTGGTAGAGATCAAGTTTAAAATCATATCAAGTATGTCAAGGAACTGTAAAAAATTTGAATCATATGGTGGGCGGTACAAGACAATTATAATGAATTTAGGATCGTTTATACAAACAAGGATCCCACATGCCTCAAATACACTCTCTATGCTTTGCTCCTGTACACATTTGATAACACTTGTTTTGATTTTGAAGTCATTTTTTGACAAGATCAGCACTCCGCCACCTACACTAGATTTCCTGTGGAATTCAGCTACTGTGTGATATTTATTAATTTTAAAAGATGGCAATTTTTCTTCATTTAACCATGTTTCCGATAAGCAAATAATATCTGGCTTTATCTCATTTAAGTCTACTTCAAGGTTCTCTGTCTTATTAAATATAGATCTAATGTTGCTAACTAATATCTTAAATTTAGATGTTTGACTATTTTTTAGATTGGAGTTAATTTTATGATACTCTGTCGCCACTCTAATGACAGAGTTTAGTGGTGGTTTTTTTACTTGCAGGCCAACACTAGTTTGATTCTGTCGATATTGGTTACTAGGCATATATATTCTAGGTTGTTCAATTTGGTTTTCATTGGTTTTTGTAGACCGTATGGCTTTAGAAGGCTTGTATTTGCAGACAAGCACACCCTCAGGCCACAGTTCCGGATTAAGTAATTTTTCAAAGTTGTCTTAAGAGCAGCCTACCTTAAAGGAAGAGTATGTATCATACCTTGTATTAAGCCTCTCACAACATACGTTGGTGTTCTTGCAAGTGTCTTGAACATATGTTTTCAATGCTTCGGCTTTCACTGAAGGGTCTAGTCTTGTTACAAACAACCAGGAGTACCTAGCAGCTGGCTTGATTTCCTCGGTGGGTGTTGACTTCCCCAGAATTGCTGAGAAACTTGATCTTGTCTTCTTCCCCACATGTAGGCCTACTTCACTCTTAGGCCTCGGTCCATATCCTTGTGAGTTTTTTGTTTCTTCGAATCTTGTCCCTTCTTTGTTCGTTTTGTTTTTTTTCCGTCTTGATATTTTTGTATGCCACACATTTTCTTGTATGTCTGGGAATTCTGTATCATCCAAATAGGATCCAACCCCTTCTTGATCACTATCTTCACTCCTAGGTTCTACCAAGATATCCTTTGGTGGTTCTCTGGATTTTATTTTAGGCGATGGGTCTTCTGGTGGTAGGCATACTACTAGCTTATCATGTAGGCCTAAGCCTGACAGATCACTTTTTTGTACACTTATCCTTTGTGTTTCCTCAGTAGGCCCAACTTTATTCATTTTAGGGTTAGCGTTTATGTCTTCTCTTATCGTTTTCACTTCTAATGATAGAGCCGTTATCTTATTATTTGCGTCCCTGTCATTGTTTTCGATTTTTTCCAGCCTATAGGCCATGTCCTGCATTAGCGATGTACTATGCTGTACACTTGTCATAACAATATTTAGAATTGAGGGCCATTCCTCTGTTCCTTTGGAAACTTTCATAGCAATTAAATCCTTAACTAGTGGGCTACAGGTATCACAGTACCAGGTCACCTTATCTGCTAACACATTTAGACATTAATATTCCTTTTTTGACAGCTTGGCACAGCTCAGGTCAAACCATTGCTGACAATTACCTTCACAGTATACTGCTTCGTCATCGGGTACATTTTTTTTGCATTTACCACATTTTTCTCCCTCCTGATTTTTATTTGTAGTAGGTCTAGTCTCTTCTTTCTCTTTCATTTTCCTTTTATAGTTTAGAGGTTCCAATTTTTTATAGGTTACAGGCCTACAACTTCGTTGTTAAAAATTATATTTTATCCCAAACAATTTGTTGGCTAAATTATTTTGGATCTGTAAGTTAATATTTTACTAAAAATATTCTAAAGTGTTTATTTTTAAAGTTTATTATTAAAAACATTTCTCTTCCTTTGTTAGCTGCTTTACTTCTTAATGGTGTATTTTTCTTATTGCTTAAATTCGTCAATATTCTAGGAATGGGCTAAAAAGTTAGGCTACTTATGAATATAGAGATAGGTTTCAAGTTTCAGTTTAAAGAATAACCTTTCCACTAACCTTTCCATTCTGTAGGTGTACACGATATACTGGAACTCAAATTATGTATTTAAGTTAAACAAAAGTAAAACCTTGAAGGAAGACAGTACTACTACTAGGCCTAAGTTAGTTAATTAGATACAAACAAATTACTAATTCCTGTCAACGCATGTTTTACATGTTTTGAGGAGTTATTAGTGTAACACATCTAGGCAGCAGTTTGGTGTAAGGGCGGCATTTCAAATGAGTTTAAAACAAAGACAGGTTTAAGACAAGGTTGAACAGGAAGTCCTCTCCTGTTCAGATTATTCACAAACGATTTGCCAGAGGTGCTGGAAGGTGGCGTAATTTCGGTGGAACGTGAGTAAATGTTTTGATGTATGCAGACGACATCGTATTGCTGGCCCCCACAGCAGCAGCATTACAAATGATGATTAGAAACTTGGAGTGTTACAGTGCAACCTGGAACCTTGCAGTAAATCTGTCAAAATCCAAAATAATGGTTTTCAGGAAAGGTGGTAGATTATTGGGACATGATAGATGGTGGTATAAGGGCAAACAGGTTGAAGTGGTAAATAGTTATAAATATTTGGGAATATTATTCTCAACAACATTGTCATGGGAAAAACATTTCATAGAGAAGAAGAGGCTAACTAATTATGCAATTAATTCTTCAGTATGGCAAAGGCTGGTAGACAACAACAAAGTTCCGCTGCGAATTAAAATATTATGTTTCGAATCTATTCCCAGAGCTATTTTGTGTTACGGCGCACAAGTTTGGGGGTTTTCAGAAATTTCTCAGTTAGAGAATTCTCAGAAAAATTAAGCAAACTATGAGAGAGGCGTGGAGAAGGAAGTGGGAATTAATTAGAGAATTCAATCACAAATAAATCAAGTGAAAAAAATGTCCTTCCAAATTGTTTCCTCCTCTTTCAAAATTATACAACAGGTTTTACTTAAACAATATTCAAGCAGTCTCAACATTTCATCATACTAGGTGAATTTAACATCTAGATCCCATGCACGGTTGTTTTAACACCTCCACAGCTAAAAATGCAGAAGAATGTTGAACAATGCGATACGTATTATTGACTCTCACAGGCGGCCTTGAACATCAAGCGTTTCAAAGCTGGATCCTCAAACTACAATTTTGGTGCTGGGGAAATCAGGACTTATAAATGTCGTTCATAAATTAATTATGAGAAAATTCAAAACCCACACCACTAGTTTATTGAAGTACAGAGCAGGTAGAGAGGACAGATGGACGGGCGTTCCAAGTAGACTGCGCTGTACGAGCACGATATTACACCATTTTTCTGATGCTCTGTACGAGCACCTAATTGTCAGGTGTACCGTCTGCATGAATGAGCCGCACTCCTGTAATCTGCCGCTATGATGAGATTGGCCTCGCCCATGTTAAGCAACCAGTTTTAACGGGGTTTTTTATGGTTAGCGTAGGTGAATAAAATAGTTTGAGATCTTGAAAGTAAAGTAATTATTAAAAATATAACGGTATAAAACATAAGAGATATAAAATGCATTAGTTGAAGAAAATAGTCTAAAAATTTGTAAAGAGGTGATTCAACACATCTCCCATAGCTCTGGACACAAACAAGTCAACCTTTGTACCTCTGATAACAAAGGAGCCGGGACTTCTTAGTTTTCCTGCCAGTCTGTCTCAGTCAGTGCCTTTGGTCGGGTCAGGTGTTGTAGGCCTAGGCCTACATGTTTAAATGTTTTATTCGTTGATTTATTTTGCGTGTCACAATGTAAATATTTTTGTATTTGAAATAACATGTGACGAGTCCAATTTGGATAAAACGTTTTCTGCTAGCCACCTGAGAATGCCATATTTGGCAAAATATATGCAGTGAACTTAAAACACTATATTTGAACTGCAAGACAAGGTACGTAATAGTTTAGTCTAATCTCGTCCACATAAAACAGTTTTTTAGGTAAATTAAGAATGAGTGAATGTCTACCGAAAACAAATTGACTTAATTAATTGTAGCAACACTCAAAGTATTTGTTGGCTTATAGGTTTTATTTTTGTTAACCCCTTGAACAAATCAAACACCTAGAGTAATGCTCGGTCCCCTGGTACTATAATTAATACAATGCCCAATCTTTAAAAAACAATATTGTTTTCTCTACTCTTCGTAAATCTATTTTATTTGCACTAATCCTGCCCAACGATTTTTCACTTCTGTTGTTAGCTTTATCTGGTATCAGCTTCTCTGCATAGTCCTTTTCAGCGTAGCTTAATATCTGTTTATGATAATTGTTCGCTAAGTTTTGGATTTTCTTTAATTTTTTCTTTGACACAGTTTAATCAGGCTTTTAAGATTTCATTTTTGGTTCTAGCCATCAAAAAGCGGCCCCCTTTGCCTGAGTAGAATATATGTTGCATCAAATAGCAGGAATTTTAATCAAAAACGCTACGCCAGCGGAGAAAGCCAACCACCAAGAAGGTAAGTTTGCAGAAAACTATATTAAACATCTATACTTATTTAATACTCAAGCAGGTTTTTTGTGACAATTACTCCTCCGAAACTACTGAACCAATTGAAATGTTTTTGGTGTCATTGGAAAGAGCATAGCGTAAGTTGTGCAGGAAACTTTCTTTTTATGGAAATAATTAGAGAGTGAGGCCCTGGTGCCCTTTAAAGTTTCGTATTTATCCATAAGATTAACATGGGAAACAAAAATTGTTATGAAAATACAGCTGTTATCAGAAATTAAAAGTGAGAAGAAGAACATATGTTAATTGTAAACAGTCAATAAGTTTGCTAATATAACAGTTTACTACAAACATTTACTGACTTGGTTGAAATGAAATATTTACTATTTGAATTTGGGTTGGTGTAAATATTACAATGGAAAAAAGCTAGAGAGCCTGGATAAATTGATATAGCCTAATCTGTTATTTACATGTGAGTATTTCCATAACCTTTGAGTCGAATAATTTAAAGTCATCAGAACTATGACTGTTATTCGTTTTAAAATAACACCTGTAATACTTAGCAATTGCTCGAATTCGAGCAACACGGACACTAGTTACATTTTATGATGCTCATTACATGTATTGGCTGTGCCACTTAATTTGGCAAAAGTAAGCCTTGAGCATCCCTGCTGTTTTCACATTAGCTTAGTTCAGTTTTAAGAAACCTTTAAACTTTCTACCACAGAAGATCAAGACCATTAATAGATTACTAGATGATCAATGGGGACGACTACCAATAGGCCTCTGTGTACTCTATCCATGGCTAGATGTTTTGTGATTTTTTAGTGAAAACTAACAAACATATTGAGAGTTTAATATAACTTTTTATCATCTGCACAAAAAGAGAGAAAAACTTATATTCTATTTTACCTGAACAAAAGCTTTTGTCTCTAAAAAGAAGCTACTTACTAGGATTGCTTTCAGAGAGGTGAAAGCCAGTTGAGCGGAACAAACGTGATTTCATATTTGTATAAGTAACTAAATGTAAAAAAGTCAATAGATTTATTTACTAATGCTGGTTTTATTTATTAAAATTATAATAATTCAAATTTACCTCTTCCAGAAGTGTATTATGGTAGTTTTGACCAGGAAAATATTACAGTACTGTAGTTGGAATCTGATATTAACATCCAAAAAGGGCATTAAAGTATAAAAAAGACAAAGGAAATTTAACATTCAAATTCAACTTTAGCCTACAACAAAAACATTGGACTTCATTTTTCACCCTTACAATCGGTTAAAGTATTTAAGGTACGTTTTGCTTGGAGCGACAGGTGCGACGGTCGCGCAGCGACTGTCGCTGAGCGGCAGTCGCGGGACACTGATCAAAAATATTACAGTACTGTAGTTGGAATCTGATATTAACATCCAAAAAGGGCATTAAAGTATAAAAAAGACAAAGGAAATTTAACATTCAAATTCAACTGTAGCCTACAACAAAAACATTGGACTTCATTTTTCACCCTTACAATCGGTTAAAGTATTTAAGGTACGTTTTGCTTGGAGCGACAGGTGCGACGGTCGCGCAGCGACTGTCGCTGAGCGGCAGTCGCGGGACACTGATCAAAGGGGTTTTGCATAGTCATGTTTTGCTTGGAGCTACTGTCGCTTGAGCCGCGAGCTGCAGTCGCTGGGTACTGCTCCAAGACCAGTCAGGAGCGACAGTCGCTTAGCGACAGTTACATTTCTGATTGTTTTTATAGTGTACACCATTCTGACAAGTTCGGTAACCTTTTATTTTCGCTATATGGCGTCGGCGGTCTGTGATTAAGTTAAATTTTAGAGGTGAAGAAGACGACAGTTTATTAGAAGAAGTGGCAAAATACCCCGCGCTTTATGATTTGAAACATATCTCCTACAAAGACCAAAGAATTAAGGACAACGTCAGGTTAGTTTAAACCTGACGTTGTCCTTTATTCTTTGGTCTTATTATTTTACAAGTTATTTTAATATATTAGTAAGTTAGGTTATTTATATTGTCGACTTAAAAGACTTCTAATTAAATTTTCGTTTAGGTGATTCAAAAAAATATTGCTCTGTATAAATGGTTATTGATCAAATTGGCTTAAAAGTCAGGCGTGTCATATTTAAATATATAAAATGCCAATTATTAAAGTAATGTGGTTATTCAAATATTAATGGAGTATATAATGTAATTGGTATTTTTTTCATTTACAATACAATCAATAAAATATAATGTTCACTCTGTGAGGAGGTTGTTTATAACACTGATTTCCAATTCAAGTTATGCTTGTGTACTGCAATTTACGGAGAAATTGAGTAATTTTATTACATTTTGGCTTGTGACATGGCAGTTTTGGAATATTTCTTATAACAAATAACTATGCCTATAAGGAATACTTTATTTGTTAAGTTTTACCTGTTTTACTAAGTGAATTTATCGATTTTATTTAGTGACTTTATACTTATCGCGCACTTTTGAGGTTAGGTGCACTGACGGTACCACGTCTCGTGACGCCAAAGAAGTCGCTCCAAGCAAAACAGTCTACCATCCCGCGACTGCCGCCCGGCGACAGTCGCTGCGCGACCGTCGCACCTGTCGCTCCAAGCAAAACGTACCTTTTAGTATAAAAAAAACAGTAACTATTAAAAAACGAGTATATTGTATAACAACAGGAGAGAAAATTTGACATTTAAATTCAACTGTGCAACATAAACATTGGTCTTCATTTCAACCCTTGCAATCGGTTAAACTCAGCTTTCTTTGCTGAACATAATTTATGATTGTTAATACCAAGTATTCTTGCTGGGGGATATGATTGTAATGTAACTGGAATGTAGGTATTCTGCCATTATTAGTACGATTTAGCGACGGCATTTTAATACTGGCCTTAATAAATACCATTGGATACAGAAGATTTTGATGAAAAAGCTGGCTACAAATTTAACATGGGGATGGAATGTCTAGTTGTATTGATAGTCAAAGATAAAACCTAGGCCTACGAAAAAATGTAGGGCTATTTTAATGTAAGACTCAAATGTAAAACACTATTAAAAGACTAAAATGAACTGAATTATCAGTCATGTATTTCAATGTGTAAAAACGTAAAAACTGCAAAAAGACTTTACTTATTGATCAATAAAATAAGATGGCTGAAATGTAGGCCTAAACATAAGTAATAAGTAAACATCGCATTCAGCTGATTTAAGTGAAAACATAATAATAATAAGTAGGGAAGAAATGCCTTAAATATACAATGTAGATAATATAATTAGAAATTAGTAGCCTACTTCTGGACAGGCCTAGACAATTATCCATGCCGTGGTTAAAAGTGTACTTCTATAAGCCCAGGTTTACTCATTCTCATTACGGTTATAACTGGACGTATGTATAGTCCGTGGCTTGCAAATAACAGTATTTATATAGGATAGGCTACTGTTATCAACATTTGAAATTACTGAATTGTTCCAAATTACTGTTTCACAAAATGCAGATACCATTTTCAGCCGAGCCATTAAAATGAGGATTTGCCAAACAATTATTATTACAGAATAGTATTTAATGATAAACAACTTTTCACATTTCATAAATTATATGTTAGTTTTGCTTTGGTCAAAAGGTCCAAATCCAAATGTTCTTTTCATTTGGTTTTTATGTAGTAATTTGTTAGAATAATTGACTTTATATGAAGTCAATGCTAGAATACTGTAGATGGTTTGTTAAGATGCAAGCATTTTTGAAATCGTTTCCCCGTTTAACCAACTATTCCTAAAGATAAAAATTATATGATGCAACACAAATAAACAACCCGATCACCTACTTATAACCTACACTTTACCTTCCTAATCTAACCTTACTTCAAAACACTTAATGTAGTCACAAATACTCATAAACCCCGACCTACCTTCCCCACATGCCTAAATTAGACCAGTGTTCAATCTGTGTTTTATTAAGAAGTGTAATAACTTACTGCACCGTCGATGTAATTCAACATAATATAACCTGTGAGGTATTCGGTATTATCGGATTAAATATCGATTTCGATGCGGTTCGATATATCGCTTATTAAATCCTGATTTCTAACATTGGCTGTTTCTAATCAGCTGGCAACACATAGGTTCCCAAGAAAGTAGTCACCGGTCCGTATCCCTCCGCTCCTTGTTTATGCTCCGCGCATTGAGAAAGTAGTTCCGTATATTTTCTTGATTTGCAGTGAATTCCGTGCCTTGAAAAAATGTTTTAACGGTATTTACTTGTTTATTAAGATCATAGGAATGGTTTAAAAACATTTAAAAGAAAACTCTAGAAAGTTCAGAAATACCTTATTTATGATTCTCTTGTTTACATTTTTCTTGTAAACATAAAACCTGTCATGGCTACTTTAGTCCCATAAGCCTAATGTTAAAAATTGAAAATTTTAAGTTCGTTTTAAATTGCAGTAGCATTATATAATTGAAATTTGTTTGTTTAAAAACCATCTCACTATTAGTCTAAGTAATTTTGTTAAGTTTGGCTGAAATGCGTTCAGCCGTTATTGAGTGATGTTTCTCTATTTGTTGCATTGAAGTTGATCCCAAAGAGCTTCGTTAGGCCTATAGCATTTCATAAGTACAATGCCGACAAAACCAGTATGTATGTGGTTAAGTCAAATTTGAGTGTTGAATGAATTATTCATGCTAGCCTTATTCCTAACTAAGATCAGTTGTTCTTTGAAAACCAGAATCGTTCATTCTTCTGCATAATAATCAAGGACAGCTGGGTCCAGTTTTTGTCCAATAGCTTTACGAAGTTAGTCCTTTAACCCCTCGGCTACATATCCTAATTAAAATCAACTTTTGAAGTTAAAAACCACATATTGATTCAACAAAGTTATTTATAGGCTACCGGTACTTTGTATTTAACTCCTTATTATTTTACTATCCTACAATTACAACTATTAGTAAGGCATTCAAATGAAAGTAAGTTAACTTTTAAGAAAGAGGAGAGAGGTTATACAAATAAATTGA